ATGTGTCCTGTGTTAGTGAAAATTGTAAATATGCTTACTCCATGTACATATTACTTATCATATTGATGATGCCTGTAAACTGGTGTTCCTCATGTACCTAAAGTGAGAATATATTATTATTATGCCATCTGTCAATGTCCAGGTCCAACTACCCTGGACTTAACGCTGTTCTTAGAAGACTTTCAGAAACTATTGTCAATAACCAACGCGGAAAACCAGAACACAAATTGGTGATTCAAGAATCCTTTATTCTTGCGCCAATACAGAATCAACCACAAGGTTATTGTACACAAAGTCTAAGGATAAATGTTATAACAATTAATCACAATAATACTTCTGATAGTTTTTCTCTGTCTTCTAACAAACAGCGAAAGATAGAACGATGACTGCAGTGTTGATGACTCCCGCCAAAATATAGAGTTGGGTTTGAGCAAACAACCATGAATTGATCGTTCATTCTTCAACTACTTTGACGCCATCCTTTCCCGCATAATCACCTACCAGGCTGATGCAGTTGCAAAGTAATGGAACTGTGATATGTGAGCTTTTCACACCTTCCCGTTATTTCACATCGTCAGTATGCAGAAAGGTCGGAGATATCAAATTAATCGACAGGCCATTTACGAAGACCAGAAATAACAGCTACCAATAAATAGCGCTTCACGACACGAAGATGTTTGCAGTTTGGTGTGTGTTCCGTATGCCTTTGTGCAGAATTACACGCCTTCTAGGTGGGCCCCAACTCAGAGAAGAAGTGGATTCTCGAATTCCAATTTTGGAAGATACATAACGAAGAGTTTCACTTGACAGAGAACCGAAAATGTAAATCGAGGGCCATCACATGCTCTGGTATGCTATGGTCCCAGCAAATGATATGACTGCTAAGATCAGCTAGCAAGTTGACGGGAATGTTTTACTATGCTAAACTCCATACAGGATATTTTCTTGAGCGGCTTCCTATGTCTGAGTGTAAGAGTGGGTTAGTGGGTGAGAAAAACAAGGCAGTAGGAAATTTTTTCAGAATCATCCATTTTATATTGCTTTACCCCAGTGGTTTTTTCACGGAATTTCCATCTGATTCTTCAGGGTCATACTTTGTTTTGTTTTTGATTACAGCTTGATGCTACACCGTATTTTCAGTACAAGTATGGAATTTTCAGCATGGGTATCGGTAGCCCAAATTTTGCAGGCCTACCATAGATATCGGGTGTGCGTCGGCAGGGGATCGAACCCCGGACCATGCGCATAGTTGGCGAGAGTCCTAACCACTGCGCTACCGACGCACTTAGGTTCATCAGTCAGCATCGTGCCACCTGATTAGCCTTGTGCCATTTGCCTGCTAGTTTTCATTTGTGTTGAATAAGTTGCCGGGACGTTTTAGTCACCTTAAGTTTTTTAATGAGCCTACCACTGTTGTGCCCATGACTAACAGATCTTTTCCTATTGGCAGAAATTCATATGGTTGTCTCGCAGTATCCTGACTCAACAATCTTGAAACGGCCTCCTGTCCATTGACACCATTACAGTCTACCGATTCGCAAATAATCGGTAGCTGTTTCTTAGGAATGATGGCTTTCAAGTAGTCTCTATCAAAACTCTTTGTTACTTGTTTCTCCACAATATTGGATTATACTTGCGAAAGTCGCAACTATGATCTGATCGGAGCCCATAGTCAGAACAGTGTGGAACCTTACAATTCCTGGTTGCCCATACCTAATTACACACGTCGGGGATTGAAGAATCCCATCTGCTAAGAACCCTGAGTTATTTACAGCCATGCAAAACCAGGATGACTTTAGAAGTTTTGTCAGTATTTCTTATGTGGTGGGTAATGATTAAATGAAGCTACTACCAAACGCGGTTTGTCGATCCCCGTCCTTCTCCTGCCGGTCCTTTCCGAAATTTTTCTTACATCTGTGTGTATTTCGTCGTGTGGAAAGCTGGTAGCGACCGGGTTGCTGCAAGATGCCAACATATGGAATGTACCTCCGGTATTTTCCCCTGAGAATCGAAATTTTACTGCAAAACATTTGGTTGTTGCTCTTGCCACAATACCTTTTGTTTAGTTCCTGTGGGTAACAACTTTTCTGGATTAATGCATTTGTTTGCTGCCCGGCCACTTTCACTGGCCAGTAAATCCGCTGTTCTCTGCTGCCTCTTCGGGTCTCTTGGCTTACTTCTGGCATCGGGAAGGAGGAACTGTCATCACTATTTTTGTTTCGTGCTTTACCTAAAAGAAAACACTTCAGCATCCAAAGTCTATCACCAAGAGCTATGGCATTCTTACTGTGATAAAATGTATTGGTCCAGATAACCTACGGATCTTTACTGATGTGACTGTAACTGAGCTCATCTTCATGGATTGCCAATGCCAACGTTGTAGGTCATTCAGACACGCTACATAGCTCCTTTCCAACTCGACGGCACGGTGTACAACAGTATTTGTAGGCTTGACCACATACAGAGGTTTGTTTCCAGAAACACTGAGTGGTTCCGACAGGCTGGATTAAGGGCGAGTGAAAGTTTGGAGTTTTCATGTCCATAACCGATAATTTAGTAGTTCTTATTGTTTGGTTACACGATTGCCAATAATCTCTCATCTCCTAGTCACACTATGCCCCTTATGTCACTCCTGGACCCATGCTTAGCTCGGGTGACAGCCTGGCTCATGGTGTCATCCAACCACCTCCACAACGTATATCCGATCCATCTCCATTTTCTTCGGCATATTTATTGAGCAGTAGTTTTTCGGTTAGCTCGCTCTTCGGTTCTCCTTTTGCTAATTCTTTCTGACCATTGGGTCTTCACTATGAAAAAAGTTTTGGGTTTGAAACCCAGTGGTTGCGTAGTGGCGTCGGTGCTTCACCAGTAGGACACTAGTCAACCGTTCAGGTGATGCGAGGTCCATTTTCTAGTTGACGTACTCCTAAACCTCGCTTAGCTGTTAGTAAGCCCGGCAAACAGGGATGACTGGGCGTGAAGCGACCTCATTGAAGTAAAGCCAATGCTACTGAAATCTCAGAGCTGAAGCTACGAGCCTTATGTTGAGAACGCATAGTGATGAGAGAATGGAGCAGCGAAAGCTGCTGATAAAACCAGCAGCCTGATGGAAGCGTTTTCTGTGATGTGCCAAGTTTCTGACCCATATGGAGGGACAAACCTAACATTAGTACTGGAAATTTGAATCTTGTTGTTTATGCCGCAGACTAGATGGCTGCATCCTAACCAGACTTATCTCATACAGAGGGACTTGAATTTCTTTCAGTAGCTCGAGTAGCTTAGCATAGTGTTTGCGAAGTTTTGGACGCAAACCGGTACTAGAGACAGGGCTTTATCACAACTGCAGTGCACCCACGCCTCACAGAAGTCATACTCAAAAGTTAAGTCCTTCTGTAGGCTTTGCGCACGTGGATGGTGCACATATCTCAAAGTGACATTTCTCATTTAAAAAGTTTAAACTTTCCCTTCCTTTAGTTTCCACTATGACTGTTTTTCCCTGGCTGCAGGGATATTATACCGTTGTTGCCTTCAACTGAAATAGAACATTGTTATTACACCTCTTGAGGCATGCTCCGGAACAAAATAGGAGGCAACAGCAGTAGGATAGAATTCGGAAATGTTATCTTTGGTGGTGTTATAACACCCGCACTTTCAGTATAACCGTTTACCTATAACTTCCGGTTGCTCTAGATAGTTGTTTAAGTAAATTTTATGACGCATTATATCAGGCGCTTTTCATTTAGGCTGAACCATCTTTTGGTTCTCAGTAACTGTATTGAGCAATGAATAACTATAAAGTAGGATGTCGAAGGTGACAAATAAAGGCTACCATAAGCTATACTAAAATTTGTGGAGCTTATTTGTGGTTGTTCAGATATGCATCTACCAGATTTCGCAAATCCTTGTCGTTTGATGTCTTGGAAAAGTCACACTTAAGTATTCGACTCCTCTATCAAAATTCCGACGGGTAACGTGTATCATTAGAGAAGGAAGTTGGGCAGTCTGAGATCTTCTAGGTCGAAAACACGGTTATGGTCAAGCGGAACAGCAAAACTTAGTCCGACACACAGCAGTAGAGAAGGCGAACTTCACAAATCATAAACTGAGTATGGTTCCTGATGCGTACCCGTTTCATATTTTTGTATTGTACAGTCACTTACTGCTCTTGAGTGACTAAGGGGATCTACATAGCCATTACTCTACAGTGCCAACTGTGAAGCAGCAAATCGGCATTACTGCATGAAGACAGGTAGACGTGCCATATTATTGCTCATTTCAGATAAATAAGGTGGTCCAAGTAAATTTAGTCCATTCCATTAAACAGTTCTTTCCGAGATGATGGTTTGTGATGAACGAAACGTTAGGTGCTATGGAAAGTGTTGACGCCATTTTTACCAGTGTTATGAGGTTAAATTATTGAATAAAATGGATGATCAAAGGACGGATTACAGTCACAATGCTTCTAAACTTGTTAGAACAGTAACTAACTGGAAGATTTTATTTAGTTAAATTGTCTCAAATTTCAACGAAGACTGCATGTAGAACTAACAGATGGAATGTCTGAAGGACAACTCTTTACTTTTGGACCGGTTGAAATATAATGGTTGGTGACTTCCGGAGCAAGGATGAGGACACATGTAAGTTTCCGGTAACGATCATTCAGTAGGAGCTCTGCAGAATGACTACTCGCGTAAGTACACACATGTATTGATAAGCAAGCGGGTTTACATACTACAAGCATTAGAGGATGTACAGGTACGAAATCATACAGTACAGACACAATTATTTTGCTTCTAATAAGGAGCAATGTAACTGCATGTGCATCCTCCACAGATCGTAAACCTGCATACTCAGCTCGGGGACGAAGGATCACACATGTCAGTATTGGAACTCTGAAATTGTATGTTTTGTTAATAATCTTACTTATCAAATTAATAAGAAAATTAATGCATATACTGATTACAAAGCTGTGTAAAACATTGGTAGATAGACGGTACACGGTAATATGTATGATAAACATATTTGCCTCCAAAAAGATTAGCCAATGAGATTACTGCGATCTTTGACCTAGGGTGTGGCAGCACCTCTTCGAGAACATCTGGTGGCTGTGTTTCAAAGCCCGTTTGGATTATTTAGACGGATGGACTCCGAAGTTATGACGTCTAACTGTTAAAAATTTCCACCATGGATACAGAAAATAACTGTGATGTATCAAAAAGATGCAAATCGGGTGGGAAACACAAGTTGAAAGGATTTTATTTATTTGAGAGATGCTCTGGCGGAATACTGAACCTCAAGTTTGATTCAGATGTATTAGAATCTTTTTACTACAAATGTACATACCCAAGTGCAAAGGGAAGGTTTCGTTTTGGTACAGCATTCTCAACGTTCTTGTCTGTTGTATGGTTGATATATTTCTCAATCGTACAACCTCCTAGTTATTTAATGTATATAATTGGATTCACTTTGAGTGCTGTAATTTCCATCGTATATTTCATAATGAGTTTTGTTGATCGAATTTTCAGAGCAAGAGCTATGTGCATTTGTAGTAGTCATGCTTGTATTATATGCTTACTTTCTTTGTTCACATTTGTTCCATCACAACCGGGTGCTACTTTGGCTTTTAATCTGAGTTTAGTCTTACAACTTGTACTGATTACCTACACAATGGCTCCTTTACGCTTATGGCAGCTTTTGGGATTATGTGGACCTGTTAGCATTTTACAAATCATATTGGCTAGTGTTCGATATGGTCAAGTTCCAGGATGGTTTGTGTTGATATTTTTCGTTGGTCATTTGTGCGTTCATTTGATTGGAATAAATCTTCACTTAATGTCACAAGTAAGTAAAAATTTTTTATCATGTATAAAATATTTATATGTTATTGTGTTTAAAATGCTTTTGATAGAATATACCTAGCTAATATTCACCTTGAGTTGAATTAATAGTATATTGAGATTACTGGAGGTCGTCTTTTATTTCTTGTTATATTTCCAAAAATGGATATAATTTAGACTTAGCTGAGTCTCAAAGGGACTCATCTGACTGTAGGTGTGTGATAAACGTAAGTGCACGAAAGTTTTACATTATTAAGTCGATTGAATTTCTTTCACCAACTTCAGTTGGTTGTATAGCTAACTTCAAGCGCATTCAGTAACTTACAGGAATTGTGATCAAGAATTACATGTTCTTCATGCAAAATACTGCTCATACCAAAATACATCTTAAAATTTCATTATTCATTTCTCAGAAGTTTTAAGCGGCTCTGATTGACTGACTTTCCAACATAGGATTCTGCACACGAGTGCACTAGTCTAAGTTGCCATACTCCATGTAGCACACAAAAGTTTAACCAAAGAGTGATAGGAAATATTCAAAAGAATTTAATGTGCAGATATGTACAGTAGAAAAAAACATGAATACCTAATGAATCTGGGAGATTATAAAATATGAATACATCTGCACCACTGGGAATCATTTCGAGCCGTGTGACCAGTAGTCTCAAGCCATTATTTCTCGGCATATTGAAGATCCTAACCAGATGGTCTATACCTTTCTACATGGCTTAAAGCCGACTGTCGAAGTTTCTATCAATTGATGCTAGGTTTTGGTTCAACCACTCCTATCTCTTTCAAACTGCACACAGAATAAATGCAAGCTGGGGTAACTTTTTTGTTTGTGTTCATATTTATCTGGTTACGTTGACTTTTTCTAAGTCTTTATAATGTGTTCAGGTTGTTTATAGAGGTAGGATTTTTGTGGTAGTTATTTTTACTTCTTAATAATTAAAAAAGGAAGTCTTGTCATGATTTTTTAATATACAACCATTGTCAATTCCCCTACTACTATGTTCGGCTGATTTCAATGCTTGTTAATGACTACTCATTTTTGGTATTATCATCTGAACATCATGTACTAGCATAATAAAATGCGAGAATCACTGAATCAGTGCTAATTTTTGGGGTTGCGTATTTCCTTCCCATATTTACACTTAAGTTATCATAGTAACTATAACTTATTACTGGTAATTCAAAGATAAACCTTCATAAAATACTTGGTCATCTATTGTGCTCTACCATAATCCCTTATGTGACCGGTTGCCAGTCAAAACTACTGAGAGGGGTTCAGTTATTATTATTATTAGTCAACATTTTAGCATGGCTTGTCACACAAAATAGTAAAACTAAAATTACTCAAAATAACTGAATGGATGGCTCAATGAAGTTGCTTGTCTTTCAGACGAAAAAATGAAACTAACTTGATTATAAGAATGATATCATAGCATTATGATAGGAGAGATGTTCATAACACTTAATCTCATAACTGTCTGATTTCGATTTAGAAGCATTGCTAGTTGATAAATTCTGAGTCGCTGTCTTCCATGATGAAAAATATTAGCTGACATGGGATTTGGTTGGGAAACAAATAGAGGTGGTTAGACCAAAACGCGGCATCGATCGGTGAAGTCTTTGACTGTTTGTTTAATCTGCGTACACTGTTGACTTACTGATTGGAGTCTCTGGGAGACTGTTGGTAGTGATATGGCTGAAAATCGTTCTCAGTGATGAAGATGTCATTTAGTGTTTGTAATCTCCCAGATCCATTAAATACTCATGTTTTTCCATGTTATTATTCTTTCTCCTGCACATTTAGGCTGGTTATAGCTCCTTCGAATATCTTTCTTTCCTCTTATTTTCTACTTTTGTGTGCTCCTTGGAGTGTTGCATGTTGAACTGGTTCACTTTTGTGCAGAGTTCTATGTTGCAAATCAGTGAATCTGTTTAAGAGCTGTGGTGGTTATTCTAACCTGCTGCTAGACATCGATTTTGGAAATCAAGAACCAAATTTGGTTTAGGCAGCTACCTTGACGTGGTGGTCGGGCTCGGAATGACCCAACGAGCTACACTGGCTGGAACTTATGTTCCTGTAGGTCCTACCATGCCAGAAAGGTTGTTTGGATAGCGGTTAGACAAAAAGCAGCTACCCAATCCAATACTATGATTCAAACAAATTCACAAAATATCATGCCGGATCAGTCGGGGCCCGGATTAACAACGACCGCGCTTCCTGCTGCCGTGTCACAGGGCAGAAGTGATAAATATGCTACTGAGACACACCAAACAAAAACGAAAAAACAAAAACTGGCCGCGTGTGACCGGTCTCAAGCAGTTGTCCCCTGGGCTCTGCGGTTACGCAACACTTTCTGTTTCAGGTTCCCAAAGAATCAATCAACTTCCACGGTGTGGGCAGCCGGGAAGTAGCAACCACCCACACACTTCCACAAGCACACGAAGCCTTCCTGAGCATCACTCTTAAGCAGTATGACTTAAGTGTGATATTCGTTAAGCCATTGATGTATTCTTTATACTTGAAGACACCTAACGCTCTCTGATTCTTTCTTGATATTTATCTTGTTGCATACTAATTGATGGTCCTTTATTGACTGAGCCTGCCTAAGTAGCCTAGAAACTCAGCTTTTATCAAGTATTCCTGGTGTTTTCTTACATTTTCGTTTACTTCACATGTTAATATACGTAGTCTGACTTGTTCGCTCCGAAAGTTTGCATGTTTGCATCTTCTGTCTAACGTATCCTGGATTGGTCTTTAGTTGCTGCTGAACCATTGTAACTGAACTACTACATTGTACTCACTATTGATTACTGTATCTGGTTATATTTTGATATAGCAAAGTGTTTCTTTAGATTAAATTACGATAAATTTCTTTTGCCTGTAAATGTTGAACTTCAATATTCACTGGGAAGTTTTCTTCTATTCGATGGCTTGAGTGCAGTTTTTCTTATCGTTACCGGAGGATTATTTTCATAGGGTACATAATAACTGCATTCTCAGTTAGTGTGCTGTTGAATAGTTCAGCTTTATTTAGATGACTTAGAATCAATCCCATGAAAAGCGAATACCGTTAGTCTAACCTATTTTCGTTCATCAATTCCCGGCATTTGTCTACTCTTCGAAACTTTCATTTCCATTAAATTCTCTAAAGTTTGGAGTATCTCATCATATAGCAACACATTTACCGTTAACATGTAGTTGTTAACCACTGTGTTCTGAATTTAAAGCCCATCGCATTTATCTAAACCTGGATGATGATTGGATAATCTTGCAAGCTGTCTTACATTAAGTTTGCTGCATAGCTTATTACATGAAAAATCTCTAATAGATAATTGAGATAAATGAATTGAATTAGTTCCTCGACCTGTTAATAGTGACTTACACTGTATTACTTCTTTTTCTTGTTTATTAAACTGCTTGTTTAATTTAGAAATCAGCTTCAAAGTGATTCTGTAAATATCATGTAAACCACATTGTCAATCTTGAATCTTCATGAATCAATGTGGTTGAGACATGTATTATATGTCAACTTTTAATATTAATTAGGATAGAATTAGTGTTTAGGTCGTGATGTGTTAATCATTGTAGTTCCAAATGGAACAGAGCTTTCGCAGCACATCTTTGTTCACTCTGTTTTCTGCAGTTCACCTTAGCTGCCTTTGGGATTGCCCATAAGCTCTTATTTCCTCTTAACACGATCTCCATGTCACCTTTCGATGCCCAACTAGTTGTTGCCTATTCAAATTCCACTTAAGGGCTTGTCTGGCGCGTGTTGCCACTCAATAGTCTCTTCAGCGTATGTCCAATCCATATCCATTTCCTCCTGCATATTAGTCAAGCTACGGGTTCTTGGTTGGTTCGTTGTAAGTCAGATTTTCTTGTCGCTTATTCTTTCTAGCCATCTCATCTTCAGTACGGATGGAAGGCAGGTTTTGATGAAAGTCTTTGGTGGCCTGTTGTAAGTGCTTTTGGTAACACTCCAGTTCTCTGAACCATATAGAGGCACTGACTTGATATTCACGTTAAAGAAGCGGATCTTGTCCTTCATATTAAATGCAGTAGATTTGCACACTGATTTCAAGGTAATGTACGTCTATTTTTCTCTTCTTATCTTTGGCATTCTCATCTCTGCCACCTGTAGTTAACACAGTGCTGCCTAAATAAGTGAAAAAGGTGACTTCCTTTGGATTTCCGGTTAATGGTGATTGATTTGTTGTTGGTAGTTAAGTGTTTCCATCACCCCTGTCTTCTTTATGTTCACTTGAAGTCCTCTCTTCGCTACCTCTTCTGCCAACTTGTAACCTCTTTGCTGTAATGTATGATGGCCGAAGGTGGGGTGAAAATCTGGTTCACAGCAGGATTCAAAGCGCTGACCTCTGAATTACTAGTTGGGTGACCTACCAGTTCAGTAACAGCAACTACTGCCATAGCTCCAGCTGTCATATTGAGTGAACCATACATAACTGTGCGTTACAGTGACTGCTCAGCTAGAAGTTCTCCTGATAACCTGGCTGGCAGTTGCATCTCGTAGCCCAGCTGGTAAACCACCGGACTAGTAATTTGGGAGCTACTGGCTCGAATTACACCGTGACCCAAATTTTCCTTTCACCTTCTGTCATCACTCAGTAAATCAATAACTCATGTTCATTTCAGGTAGTCTCACCATCATCGATCAGTTAACCTATCAATGTTTGTCACTTACCCTCTTAAATATTATTTTGAATTAGACGTGACAGTGAATGTCTTCTCGTGGCTTTGTTTTCAACACCTGTTTGTCAATAGTAAATTTGTATTGTAATCAATAAACATAACTCTTTCGATTGAGTTACTTCTCACTTTCTGTGTGTGTGAAATTGTTTGTTTTCAGTATTAGAGTGTGTTAATCGCGGATAGATTTTGAATGTTCCATTCGAATTAATAGTTTGCATAAAGAAATGTATAATAGTCCGGCATTTGTATTTATTTTACAATGGAATTGCCAGGGAACAACATTCTCTTGGATGATACTGTCCTCCTTGGTGAGGCCATTGGCAACATACAGAGTCTCCTAGACATCTTGAACAGAAATCTTCGAATGTTTATACGCAAGTCACTTCTGTCAAATGGAGGATAATGCTACAGGGCTGGACTACACCGATTAGAAGTGCCATGGTAGAGCGTGTTGACTAATTCATTCATATGTGAGAATTTGTATCAGCCATAATAGAGTGACTACTGAGAAAATCTCAGCTTGAGTACGAAAATATCGTTTGGCATTTGCCAATTGACGCCATCGTTGGTACAGATGGGATATTCCGCTACCCATCAAAAGACGTATATTGTGCACCGGTTGTCTCTGTTCTTCTCCTTTACGGCTGTGAGACATCCACTGAAGGTGGAAGATATCAAAACGGTAGCTTTCTTTAACCATAGATATTTGCATCATATCTTCTGTTTTAACTGGTAATATATAGGATGAGTAATATTTAGGTTAAGTGTAGAGTCTTAGTTTGGGGGGGGGGGCAAGTCAACCTGTGAGTCTGTGAAGCTAAATCGATTCAGATGCCTAGGATATGTCATACACATATCAAGCTATCGTATTCCTCATCGAGGAATGTAAGCTGATATGGGATTAGGCTGGAAAAAGAGTTAATGTGGTCATATCCAAACCTGGCATAAATCCACAAAGTCTTTAACTGTTGGTTTGACTTATGTAGAGAAATGTGGACAACCTGGTTTAGGTCCTCGAGATGCAAACACATCCAGTGGCTGAAAAGTGTTCACACTGGTGTATTCACTCTTTTTGATCGCCTGTATCCATTGAACCCTCACTGTTTTTCATGTTAATATCCTTTCTCCCTCGTATTTCTGCTCATTATCCTTTTTTTTTAATTCCTTCACGTTCCCCGTGGAACATAGGGCTTCAAGCTAGAGGCTTTAAGTTTCTTTAGCACTTTATTTTTACAGGATGTTTGCTAGCCTCATGCCCAACCTTTCCCCTTTACTAGCTTTATTTCTGGCTAAGCGAGGTAAAGGAGTGCTTCGGCCGGGGATCGAACCTCGGACCATGTACGTGGTCGGCGAGTATCCTAACCTTTATGGTTTACATAGAGTATGACAACTTGAACGTTGGCACTTCTCTGCAGAATTTTCTGTTGAAACTCAGTTAAAATGAAATAGTTGATTTTCCCTGTTTGCCCAACACTCTACGCCTAACGTCAACATTACTTACCTTATTATACCACCTAACGTGAGGAAGAGATCGTAGACATCTATGATCAAAAACAGTCAACCTTTTCATGTCTTCAACTCGTATTGGCCATGTTTCAGAGCCATAGAGAAGGACGGAGCGAACTGCTGAGCAGTACACACGTGCCTTGGTGGATAGTCGGATGTCACGCCTACTCTAGAGATGGTGTAAGTTAGCGAAAGCAGCTCGAGCTTTTTGGATCCGTGCTGAGATTTCGTCACCAATCAATCCCTTGGTGCTGATACATCTTCCCAAATAGGTGAAGTGGTCAACATGTCCTATCACTTCACTCCCTATCACTAAGCTAGGGGTAGACGTAGTCCAGTCCTGCAGCAGCATCTTACATCGAAATAGCTTTAGTCAACTGAGCCCTAATTTTGAACTTCACCTCTTCTACAGTCTACGATTTGGGCAGCTGGATAGTCTTATTGCCTGTCACATAACATTTATAGTTCGTTTGCATGCAAATACATAGAAGTCCATATATTTGCATATCTATTTACGTCTTATATATGTAGGATTGTCTTTTAGTTATCTTTATATAAGACATGTGATTATTATTTATTATTACTTTTTTTTAGGTTTGGCGTAGATCAACATTTCTACGCATGGGTTATAATGCCTTAATGCGTAAAGCGTTGAAAAAAGAACAAGAAATTCGTGATGACATGATTCGTTCATTAATGCCTAATCAAGTAGCTCAAGAAGTGATGCGTGAAGTTGGCAATGATAGTGGAATTGATTCTGGCAATGACAATGACAACTCAAATAATAACGCTGACAATAATAATAATAATGATAATAATAATAATACCACTTCGGGTAAAAATAAAAAGTACAAAAAGAAATCCTCGAAACAAAGTCTAAATCGAAGACTGAAAAAGCAAAAGTTAAAAAATGAAACAGATAATATGGAGAATGATTATTTAGATTCGAAAGGTTTTAAAATTAATGGTTTCAGTTATATGGGTGATGGAGAGGATAGTGATGAAGACGATGAAACACAAATATCAAAAAAGATTAGTGTTGGAAGTAATTGTGAACAATTGGCTGCAGGACAAGGTTAGTTTTTTCCCCCTATGTTATACATATATGTGTGTATAGTTTTGATGAGTTACGAATTATAGACCATTCTGTTCTGCAGTTTGTTAGAAATCAGTTGCCTGGGTCCAGGTTTTATCAGGTATATCAGGCTATGAACCATATCTGTGATGTGCGGAGGTTGAATGTACCCCCGCCTGGAGTTGCTCTGGTTGAAGCAGTTGGAACAAGATTTGAGCTGTAGGTTGATTTACTGTCACTGTCTGGTGTTTTAGCCATAGATCATACATCTCCATATTCCTAAAGTAGTAACGTGAATATAGCAAGAAACAGTGGTTTGTGCAGAATAAGACGATGGTACCATCATTGCTTCTTTCGTTGGCTTCTCATCAGCTGCTTACGGCCTAAATAAATTATGAGGTTTACGTACAGAAAAGTTTTAACATACTTGCAAATTTTTCATGATGTCAGTTGACAGAAGGTTCCGCAATTAGTGAACAGTGCTCAGAAAATTGCGCTTATATAGGTTTTACACAGGCAGTTCAAGATTAAAGAAAATAAATGTATGCATACAATGGTCAAGGAGTTACATAATAAAGACGAGATATGCGTTGGATGCAGAGTGACTAATGAATTAGGTAACAATATACTGAGTTCAACTCAAATCATAGAAACAAGAGACAAGCTAAATTACAAATTATAAAAGGGGGTGAGGTTAAAGCCAAAGATAACGTAATCAAATGAGAGAATAAAGACATCCAGTTACCAGGATGGGTAAGGAAAGACTAATAATTGCTTCTTTCTGAACACATAAATCTGATTTGAAGCGTTTGATAGAAATTGCTTCGGCAAAATTGAGGAGGATCGAGCTCCTCTGTCTACTGATAATATTAACGGATTTCGTGATTTCCATCTCATGACCCGTATTGAGGGGACGTCTGGTAATAGCGCTATTATAACAGTTTGTTCCCTTATTTTGTTTAAACTTGAACTGCCTATGTAAAAACTATATAAGCGCAATTTTCTGAGCACTGTTCACTAGTTGTGGAACCTTCTGTCAACTGACAACATGTAAAATTTGCAAGTATGTTAAAACTTTTCTGTACGTAAACCTCATAATTTATTTAGGCCGTAAGCAGCAGCTGATGAGAAGCCAACGAAATAAGCAATGATGGTACCATCTTCTTATTTTGCACAAACCACTGTTGTTCTTGCTTTATTCAAATTCATTAAGGGGAATAAATGCATGATATAGTAACGCGCTTGGTTTGAAACCTCGTCCTCGTAACTGCAAACTTCCTAAGAGTCACACACACACACACGCACTAAGATGAGACACGTCTCCTGTACTCTTTTGTTTATATAGGACCCATTCTAGCCTACATTTTCCTTGCGAAACTAGAAAATGGGCCTTTGAAGGATGTTATTAATGAACTCGAATTTTATTGTCGGTACATGGATGATACTTTTTTGATTATGAAGAACGAAAAGGAAGCAAAGAACATCCTGGATAAATTTAATGAGGTACATCCTGCAATAAATTTTACTATTGAGAAAGAAAAAGACTCTAGTATTTCATTTTTAGACGTCCTTATGACCAGAAAAGAGGACGGCACAATAAGAAGAAGTGTTTATAGAAAACCTACATCAACGGGCCAGTACACACATTTTCTCAGCTTTGTGCCCTTGAAATACAAACGCAATCTAATAAAGTGCTTGGTCCACAGAGCAAGAGAGATTTGCTCGGACGAATGTCTTGACGAGGAACTTAACAATATTAAACGGTTGCTAAGTGAGAATGGTTATCCTGAAAAGTTTATTGATAAGAATCTGAATCTGAAACCAAAGCAGCCCAAGTTACCAACAGTTCCAAAAAAGGCCTTATTCCTACAGATGCAGTTCCTAGGAGACAACACCAGTGAGATACTAACACAGCGCCTTAGAAATGCGGTAAAAAGAGCATTCCCTGCTGCTGAATTACGCTGTATCTTTAAAACCACTCCTCTTCTGCGTTCGGGAATAAAAGACAAACTGCCTAATTTCGCCTCTTCCATGTGTATATACCAATTTAACTGCTCCTGTGGAGCCAGTTACATAGGCCGTACAATTAGGCGTGTTTCTCGTCGAATTTCCGAACATCACCCTGCCTGGTTAAGCAAAGGACAAACAAAATCTATTCGCAGCGCTATTCTATCTCATCTTGTGGAGACAGAACACAAGATTGACGTTAATCATGCTTTCAGGGTCATTTACCGCATACCTACGAATCTCAATTTTGCTTTAAGAGTTCGACTACTAAATATTGCTGAGGCTGTTGGGATCCATATTAACAAGCCTAATTTATGCATCCAAAAGAAGTTAGTTCAGACATTATCCTTACCTTGGCCATCTAGGTTTGAATGATCCTGAATTTTTGTGGAATTTTCCTAATTTTAGTTGATATTCTATTTGCTACTATATCTTTATTATTATTATAATTTAAGCATCTTTAATGAACTGTAATTCCATGTGATCTTACTTTACAAATCGATATTATTTAAAAAACACTAATATTGTTATTAACTACTAATTTAAAATATTCTGTGTATATAAACATATATATATATAATTGTAGAGCCGGAAGAGGAATTTATCGAAAAGAATATTCTTTGCTCGATTATTTTGTGTTTTATAGATGTCTGAATGAATATTTTTGCTATATTGGTTTTGTTGGTCAATGTCGGTTAGTAATGACATTATTCTTAAATCCTATATTTTATTGAAATCATGTATCTGTGAATATGCAGGATAATAAAAACAGGTAATGGGTTCATTTGAAATGCGAAAAACTAACCTCATTAGAAATATGAATGAGGCAAGAGTGACAGTTTGTGCAGAATAAAATTGCATCATCATTTATTTCGTCGACTTCACATCAGCTGCATACAGCCTAAGGAAATTATTAAGTTTTTTATGTACACAACAATTTTAAGATACTCGCATATTTTACATGATGTCAGTTGACAGGAGGCTTTAAACTTGATGAACAGTTCTCGGAAAATCACACTTATGTAATTCTTACACAGAGCGCTCAAGTTTAAACAAGAATAAATGCCTGGATACAATGGTGAAGGAGTTACGTAATGAAGGCAAGAGGTGAATAAGATAGTGAGCAGTTAATAGATTGAGTAACAATGTAGTGAGTTCAACTCAAATCATGGAAGCAAGAGACAAGCGAATTTACACTATATCAAAACGGGGTAGTGAGGCTAAAGCAAACGACTGCGTAATCACATGAAGGAGAGAATTAAGAAATCCAGATACCAGGGCAAGGAAAGATTGATAACTCATGTATTTGATTTCTTTTGGGTGTGTGTGTGTAACAGCAGGAGCATTAATGTTGCGTGACCGCAGAGTGCAAGGACAACTGCTTGGGGCTTGTCACACGCCGCCTATTTAAGTTGGATTTTGGAGATATCTCCGTACCTAGGTTTCACCGCCGTTAAGGGACTGCCGCAAAACAAGTTGGGATGTACAATGCCCCTTGCCACAGGGGATAGGTGGCATAGATGGCTTGCTTCTCGCTTAAGGAAAACACCTTACTGCTAGTACATCCTTATTCGCCAGCAGTACGACTTCCCCCACTGACTCTCCCTCCCCCAGTATAGTGTAAATGGCTTATATTATACGGTAACTGGCTCTTATTCTAACCTTTATCCAAACAACCTTTCTGGCATTGTAAGTCCTGGAGAACCATTAACTCCAGCCAGTGTAGTTCGAGAATTGTGATATGGAATCCTGATCACCGCCATTACAAGGTAGTATTGTCTATATTCCTGTCATCTGCCCATTTGTTTCTTTTTCTTTGTTTAATTACGCATACTTCCCTTGCCGAAATCATCAAGTGTTAAGTTTAGACCTATTGCTATTATCTCACCATCTTTAAAATTAATGGGAAAACTGCCTTTACCTCTTGAACTTGAAACTTCATTGAAGGCCTTTAATGACCCCAAACAATTTGCTTATAAACATAGTAGATGTAGTTTAGACGCCACTGTTGTCTTGCATCATAATATTATCTCAAATTTAAACAGATGTGCCAGATATGTTTGGTGTGCCTTCCTTAATTACACATCTGCTTTCGACTCTGTACCTAGGTCTCTCTTATTAAACGATCTTGCTATGACACAAAAAGGGGTTGTTGGATTAATGAGTGGTTGCATTCTTACTTTTCTGATAGGAAGCAGCACACTGTTTACAATAGGAAGTCCTCCACTGCTTCACTTACTCTAGCTGGTGTTCCTCAAGGAGCTGTTGTTTCACCTTTTCTGTTTTCTCTCCTCTTACATGACTTACCCCATTCTGATGAAGCGAATTTTGTTAAGTATGCTTATGATCTGTTTCTATGTGCTCATCACATCTCAGTCAGATTGTACAAAATGAACACGGCTTTATTAGAAATTAGTCAGTACCCCTTCTCAAATGATCTTAAGCTAAGTGCCTCCAAATGTCAGATTGTTAATTTCATTTTCAGAAAGAAGCGCAACTTACATGAATTGGTTTCTTCCACATGAGATTCTATTATCACAGATTGCACTGAGGTCGAATGTTAAATACCTTGTAGTGTATATTCCCTCTGATCTTTCCTAGTCTTCCCATATGTTAATTTCTAGAAAGGTATTTCATCTAACCTCCTATATAAGAAAGTTAAGACATTTTGGTATTACCCGGTTTCTAGTTTTACAGTTTTGTTAATTCTCGTTTTATTACAGTGCTAGGGGGCTAGCTGTCAGTAAGGCTAGTGGGGTATCGCTAAACCAACTTGTTAATGCTGTTGTGGACAAACACTTCAACTCATGCAAGAAATTGTCAAATAGCATTCTCTTTATACACAGTTCTCTCCTGACATCTCATCAGGTAGGAGTAGAAGCGGTTACAAAAGACTGAGGATGAAGACTCTATGTGGTGAGAAAAGTGTCGGACATGTAACTATTAACTTACTGAGAAACACTAAGTAAATGTCCCGTTTTATTCTTCCTGTC